GTGGAACACCACCGCAATTTGTGAGGATAACACGAATCACAGTGAATGGTACAGCACAGGGCGAGGTCATGCTGACAAGGTCATGCTCTAAGCGTGAGGAAGATGCTGGATATGGTTGACAGTCATGAATTACAGCTCCTGTAAACATGAACATGTATACTAATAAGCAGGCAACAAGCACAGTTTCTCTACATGTGAACAGAAAGTTCCACAGATAATCTTTCTACCCTATGCATTTATAGCTCTTCTAGAATCTTATTCATAGACTTAAATGAAAGAATCCAACTTTCAGAGTCCACTTTCTCCTTAAGAGAAAGATAGGATTGTATTACTGTGCAACAGCCACGATCCCTAAAAGGAGGGCCTGGGGGAGCCCTGGACAGGACTTGAACGGCACCTGGTTGGCCTGGCTGTTGCTGACACAGCCTCTCCACTCCCTGAGACTACCAGTGAAGTCACATCAGAATTAGAGAAATTCCTAGCCCCAAATGGAGATCACAACAAAAACAACCGTTCCCATGTGTCCGCTTGCTGGTTGCTTCAGATCCAACCTGTCCAAAGAGAAAAGTGGACACCTCTCCTGTCTGCCTAGGTGCAGCACCCAGGCAGCTGTTCAGAGGGCAACTGTCAGAAGAGGAAAAGAGCTGGAAAGTGGCTGATGTGTGGTATCACATGGACCATGGTACACTCAGGAAAGGGAAAGAGCCTGAAAGAGGCCTATGCATGGCATCATATGGGACACGGTACACTCAGGAGGGGGAAAGCGGCTGACAGAAAGTGGCTGACATGTGGTGTCACATGGACCATGGTACACTCAGGGAAGGGAAGAAATGAAATGTGGCCGATGCATGTTGTCACATGGACCATGGTACACTCAGGGAGGCAAAGAGCTGGGAGATGGCTGATGCATAGCATCACGTGGACCATGGCACACTCAGGAGAGGGCAAGAGCTGGAAAGTGGTTGACGCATGGTGCCATGTGGATCATGGCACTCTCAGGGAGAGGAAGAGCAGGAAGGTGGTTGACATGTGGTGTCACATGAACAATGGCACACTCAGGAGAGGGGAAGAGCTAGAAGGTAGCCAATGTGTAGTGTCACATGGACCATGGCACTCTCAGAGAGGGGAAGATCTGGAAGGTGGCAGATGTGTGGCATCACGTGGACCATGGTACACTCAGGGAGGGGAAGAAAAGAAAGGTGGTTGATGCGTGGTGTCACATGGACCATGGTACACTCAGGGAGGGGAAGCGCTGGAAGGTGATTGACACATGGCATCTCATGAACCACGGCACACTTAAGAGAAGAGAAGAACTAGATAGAAGGTGGCCAATGCGTGGTGTCACATGAACTATGGTACACTCAAGGAGGGGAAAAGCTGGTTTTGTGGCCGATGCCTGGTATCACGTGAATGTGGCACACTCAGGAGAGGGAAAGGGCTGAAGGTGGCCAATATATGGCGTCACATGGACCATGCCACACTCAGGGAGGCGAAGAGCCAGAAGGTAGCTGACACGTGGTGTGGTATGGCACATGGACACCTGTGGCCCGTGAAGCTCCTGGAATGGTGATTACTGGACATTACCTTTCTTCTTTCTTTACTTACGAAACTCATGGTGAGATTTTGGCACATCTTGCCTTAGCATTGCCAAAAAACAGCAAGCAGGCTGCAAACTAAGAACACAAATATGTGCTCAAGACCTCAGTCTCGAAATAGGACTCACAGTCAAAAAGTGAACAATTCCTGACTAATCCAAATACAAGATGCTTCTGTCTCATTTCAAGAGAGATGAAGGAACAGCAGGCCACTGGGGTCTCTCAACACAGACTTCAGACCAAGGTGAGGAGAACATCAGCTGGAAACACGAGTCAGGAAACCTGTGAAGATGACGGATTCTACAAGCAAAACACATTTTAAGGTGATGCTTTGGAATACTAGGATGAAGAGAACAGAAGGAAGGATGAGGAAGGATGGAGGTAAGAGAACTAAACATAGACTAGGAGAGTCAGGTCATGTCAGAAGTGCTGAAGAGCACAAATGCATTAAAGTTAAAAGCACAGTTAATGACCACTGAGCTATACTCTTAAAGTGGTGAAGACAGTGAATTTTACACATGTTCTACCTCAATAAAAAATTTGAAACATGTATTTAATAAATGAAACCCTGACAGAACAAAACTAAGAAACAATCTCAGACAGAAAAAATAGACAAAATAAAAGCATAAAAAAGGTGATACTGATAACAGTGTTTCTAAAGAAACAGAAACAGAAAACGCTAAAGACAAAATGAAAACAAGCATAGCGCAAAGAAAGCAAATTAGAAATTAATAATCAAGTAAGGAGTCAACTTCAAGAAAGTGTGATAAAATTTAAAGTACAAGCTAAGAAAATACAAACATCTGAATGCCAGACTCATGCTAGACTCTCTTTTTAAAGAATATGCTTAAAACTATGAAGCTTGGCCTTCATGAAAAAAGGTTAGAAATCAAAATGTTAAACACAGCTAATTATCATTTCTATGTCATAATCAGAATGTCATTCTCAATTGGCCTGATCCATTAAGCCTGGAAGATCAAGACCAGCCTAGGCAGCACAGCCAGATCCCATCTCAAAAAAAAAAAAAAAGAATATCATTCTCACCATGTTTGTTCATGAACACTATATTCCCCTCAAATACTTAACAAGTTACTTGAAGATACACTCTGAGAAATGAGGAAAAACTCAGAATTTAAGAACTAGAAAATTATACTGTAAAAGGAATAATAAAAGACCTTAATTAACCTGACAGTGCAACTATGTGTTATGAATATCACTATAAAGTTAACTGATGGCCAGGTGCCATGGTTCACACCTGTAATCCGAGCACTTTGGGAGGTTATGGCAGGAGTTCAAAATCGCCCTGGATAACATAATGAAGCTATGTATCTGCAAAAATTTTAAAAATGAAAATATACATTTAAGAAAACTGACTAAAAACATAAGTTTAAAGTGTAATAGTTACATTTTAACAACAATCTCTCTTAGAACCCAAGATTGTATCAAGAACTTCCATACGGAGCATTCAAATGATATTATTTTATTCTTAATTTTCAAAATTATAGAAATAGAGAATACTTTTAAAAAACTTAATCCTGTAAAAATCCCCAGTACTATAAAGCAGGGGCCTCCAACCTGTGGCCTGTTAGGAATTGGGTCACACAGAAGGAAGTGAGTGGTGTGTGAGCCAATTTCCGCCTCCTGTCAGATCAGCAACAGCATTAGAATCTCATAGGAGTGCAAACCCTACTGTGAACTGTGTGTGCAAGGGATCTAGGTTGCGCACTCCTAGTGAGAATCTAATGCTATATGATCTTCCCCTCCATACCGCCCCCAGTCTGTGGAAAAACTATCTTCCAGGAATTGGTCCCTGATGCCAAAAAGGTTGGGGACTACTGCTATACAGTATTTGGGCACGTATATTAATCACATAAATAAATTGAAGACTGTGTTAATGGTAGTGTACAAGGCACAAATGTCATGAAATAGTGCCACACCATTGATACTCAGTGGCAGTCTTCTGAAGAAATGAATATATTAATGTTAAACATAAAACACAGGAGGATAAAAGAGCAATAAGTGGAGTGATGTATCTGTTCTCGAGGTAGGGACAAAACTCCAACTCTCAGAAACCAAAATTAATGAAGAGAAACAGATTTGGCTACTCAAGCTACAAATAAAACCGCCACATTATATAGCATTGGTCCAGACCATGCTGCTGTTTGCACGAGGGTCAGCAAAAGTTTTCGGTAAAGGGCCAGAGAGCAAATACTTTCAGATGTGCAGGCCAAACAGGATCTGAGGCAACTACTCAGCTTTGTTATTGGAGCACAAAGTCAGGCACAGACAATAAAGAGATGGGCATGGCTGTGTTAAAAAAAAAAACAAAAACAACTTAATTTACAAAAGGTAAGCCAGATTTGGACGAGGTGATGCGGTTTGCCAACCCCAGCTCAATCACGTAGTTATCTACATGGTGGTGCACACTGCCAACATCTATGGACTTGAGTCCTTGGCTCAGTTCAGAACATGAAGGAATAATTTGTGTTATTTGTGTTTTCTAGGTTCTTTAGCTCCCATAAGACAACATGGACCCTTCTTCTGGCTCAACTGTCTGCCAAAAGCGAGGGGTCACACTCATTGGGCCACCGAAAGCCCTCACGACAGGATTCTGCCAGGGCACACAGCACTGATCTCACGGCCATCAACATTCGTTAAAGTTGAGTTAAAACAGTCAAGGGGAGACTTCTTTTTTTTTTTTTTTGAGTTGGAGTCTCACTCTGTCGCCCAGACTGGAGTGCAGTGGTCGCTCCCGGCCACCGCAGCCTCGACCTGCTGGGTTCCGGCGATCCTTCCTCCTCAGCCTTCCAAGTAGCCGGAATTACAGGCATGCGCTACCACGCCCGGCTGATTTTGTGATTTTATTGTTGAGATGAGGTCTCGCTGCCCAAGCGGGTCTCGAACCCGCAGGCTCAGGCAATCCACTCACCTCAGCCTCCCAAAGGCGTGGGATTACAGGCTGAGCCACCAAGCCCAGCTAGGGGAGACTTCTTAAACAACACACCACCTATCTACTTTTCTAGATAACCTGTATCTTTCGACTGAATCAGATCTGCAGAGAAACCGGTACCCAGATCACGGAGAAAAAGAGTCTTTTTAGAAAATCACTGTCTCAGAGAAAAGTGTATCACCAGGTACCAAAATTTCCATAAAGCTGAAAAAATATAACGCGCACTTATCGCCAAACTGCATGCCGAAGTCATAGCTTGAGATTACGTCCTAAAGATGCCACTGTCACTGCAACATACACAGTGATGTCAGTGACTGTGGGATGAGATCTGCTTAACTTCCACCTTGAAATTCAACGACACTCAAGGCAATCTGTCATAAAAAGCGCTCATTGGAAACTGACTATTCGGTGATGGGTAGGCCTGGAGCAGGCTGCTCAGATGAGCACATACGCACCTCCTTGAACTTGTGGCTGAGCTTGCTTGTGTCCAGGTCCGACGGAGAAAACACGTCCTCGTTGTCAGGCAGCTCGAAGACTTCAATGGCCATGTCACCGCCAGGAAGGACAGGCCCCACCTCGTCCTCCTCCTCATCTGTGGCATATTCTCCTGTCTAAAAGGAAGGGGATTTCAGAAACCCAGCTGTCTGCACCCTAGTGGAAGTGAGTTGCCTGGACATATTTTATGAAAGAGGATGGAGCATGTCACCACATGGTCAGAGTGTGAGCAGGCTTTAAGTCGAGCAAGCCTCATGCAGCTAGGGTTAGGAACAAATGCTAGTTAAGAGCTTCAAAGCCAGCTACAAGCATGTCTAGATATCTATTCACAGCAATAGCATCTTTAGTGTGGCAACAAGCATTGTTTCTTTTCAATCTGAGTTTTTGATGGCCTTACTCAACAAAATTATCTTGCTAACTAAGGAAATAAGTCATTGCCTTAAAATCTCACCTCCCTTGTGAAGAAGCCATCAAATATTGGGTGCAGGGGAGCAGGAGGAGTTCAGAGACTTGTGGAGCTGGAGAGGACCATAATTCAGCCTTGGAAAAGGGTTAGCCAATCAGTCCTTCTGGCTTTGGAGTCCTGACTGTTCTGTTTGTGTGTTAATTATTGTGGTAGTGAACTAGTGAGCTAAAGGACAAATCAAAGCCCTCACAAGTGCACTGTTCTGCCAGTATTTCTACAAAATTTGAGTATTTTGGCAATGTGAAAATAAAGGTTTCACAGAAAGTTCTAGATTTCCAACTTCTTCAGAACACCAGAAAGCTGTTAATGTAGGTCCATTGGGACATGGTGACAAGTGGCCAGAGTCAGCAGGGGCTGCCCCTTTCAAGTGGGCCACACGCCTTCTAATACGCCGTAACATCCCTGATTCTGCACTGTCCACGTGGCTGGTGTCATTCCTTTCTGGCCCTGTGGGGGTTTGAGTTCATGACCCAGAACAAACTTTCCTCTTTGTCACAAACTTCCCTGATGTCATCAGGCTATGGGACTGTTATCCTAAATTATTGTTTGAAATCTATATATAAGATATGAGAGAATTTTTACAGGACTAAAAAGACAAGGTTCATCAACTCACCCCGTTCCTTCAGGCAGTGCTTTTATACAAAAACACAGTCAGACATTTGGATTGCCTTTACATTATAGTATCATTTTTATTTTTTTGAGTCAGAGTCTCACTATCGCCCAGGCTGAGTGCAGTGGCATCATGATCACGGCTCACTGTAGCCTTGACCTCCTGGGTTCAGGCGATCCTTCCACTTCAGCCTACCAAGTAGCTGGCACTAGAGGCATGCACTGCTATGCCCAGATAATTAAAAAAAATTTTTTTAGAGATGAAGTCTCATTCTGTTGCCCAGGCTGATCTCAAACTCCTGGTCTCAAATGATCTTCCCTTCTTGGCCTCCCAAAGTACTGGGATTACAAGTGTGAGCTGCTGTGCCTGACCTTCGTAGTACCTTTAAAGACACTTTCATAAAAGCGTACTGACTGATCTGCTCCTCTGGTTAAACAGGCTCAGCATCTGAGTGTGGTGTTTTCTTTTGGTTCCCTACTCTATTCTTCCTGCTGGAGCTGAACAACTCCCCCCACCTTTTTATTACTGTGTTTGCACATGAAGGAAATCATTAGGGGTCATTAATGCCAATCTAATAATTCCCAAGGTCTGGAAGGCCATTATTAAATTGCCTTCAGATTTCTTTTTCAAACAAAACAATTCTCATTCCTCAACAGGTCTGGATCTTTCTCTGTAGTTTTCTTCGCAGTGGTACCCTGACCGCTCTCCAAGCATTCCTCACATGTTCAAGCTGTGGAGCTTGGAAGCAGACATTTGGGAACCTGAGGGCTTTGACCATGACAGACACACTGCCTGAGCACCCTTCAGGTGCCACTTCCCCACACAGAGACTAATGTCACGAAGAATTTGATTTAGGTGGGTTTTGTGTGTAGAAGTAAGCTCAGAATATTTCATGCAGAGCAGTGATTTTCCAAATTAGCTACAGGTTAGAACTTTTTGTTTTTACCAAATAAGATCAGAGAAACTTTGACTGAAGAGAAGTGGGTGGCTCCATCTTGAACCTATGTATCTCCCCAGGATCTGGACCTCTAAGACTCTCTGGAAATCAGTCTGAGAACGTCTAAACTCTAGTCACACTCCGACCATCCCTGGCACTGGCAGGAAAAGCAGTGGAGAGATGGGAGCTGGTGGGTCCCAGATGGTTCCTGTTTATTAATCAGTACAATGAGACCCTAGGACTCATTCCAGGTTTGGCATGGTTTTGTGGTATTTTGTAAATTAATCCATCTCTATTTATAAATGTTTTCAGAGCCAACAGGTACCTTGTAAATCCCAGTGATGTTAACTAATAGTAACATTGATGTCTGGTAAGTAAATAATTTCAAGATATCTTGCTGGAAGTTTTTATGTTGAGGTAAAAAAAAACTGTGTGCTTGTTTTTAATCCTATAATTACCACTAGCAGCAAAGCTAAGACTTTATTATAAAGGTTTCAACCAGGTATATAAAATTCAGTTCCATATAATCAATTTGATGAATAGCATTGAATGACTGTAAATCATAAGCTCAATGTAAAGTCTAAGTCATAACAAGGTGGCACATTTTAAATATGAGTTGAAATGAACAGTTTGAGTTCTCTTTGCCAGCTTAAAAATAAACATGTGTTCACTCTGAGAGAATTAATACAAATGTGTGCCTAAGGTGGGCTCTGACATCGAGAAGGATCTCAACAAATATTTTTAAAGAATAAGTACAAGAATGCTGATGCATTTACTTGGTGATATCTAGAACTTCCTGAAGAGGTTTTCAATAATACCAAGAAAATGAACTGCAGTTGCTTGTTAAGAAGGCAGCACTCGTTCACACATGTTTTCAGCAACCTCACAGTGAGTAACAGAAGTAGGATGCACATGGCTTGTGCAATTCTTACCTCTAAATACAGTCCCAGCTTTGCCATCCACATACACTTCAGTTACCAAAGTTAGCTCCATACATTTAAGTTGCTAAGAATTCTTCTTGATTATTTTGTTGACTCTTCCAGTTCCCTCTCCCTCCCAAAACTCAAATTACCTGAAATCCTGCTAAACTCTTCTCACTGGTTTTATCTTTTCCTGTACTAATGTTTTTTACTTCCAATCAGCCTCATAAGCAACCTGAGGACAAGGATGTTTTTACTGCCTTGATTCTACTTATCACTTGCTACGGGTGTTAGGGTGTTTAAAAACTTTATGTCACCATTCCCTGGTGCCGGTCATTTGCCATTCCAACCCTGAAGAGGCTTTAGAATAAAGGAGTCACTGGCCACAGAATCTGAAAATTTAAAAGTTACACTTAGAACTAAGAGTAACAGGGTCTTCTGACTCTTGAATCTTTACTGAAAATAAAAAGTATGCTCATGTTTACACTGCAAGTAAAATAAATGGCATGTATTCCATTCTTTTAGCAGAATGTTGTAAACCTCAAAATTAGATTGGCTCAAATCTGCCACTTACAAAGGAAGATGGAATACTCTACCAAAAAAAAAAAAAAGCCACAACAAAGCGTTTCCACTGGCACCCAGCTTCTATTTCTTGCCAAATTCAAAATCTTTCAAGTAATGAGAGACTTTTGAAATTCGTTGTCTCAACCTGCAAATTCACTTCAGAATTCACAAGAATGGTATTTAGGATAAAAACGAACAGAGACAGTGAATGTCCCTTTTCATGTTCTTATCTCCCTTCCTAATTAATATCTTACACTTTTTAACAGCCCCATATAAAGGGGCAAACCACGAATAACAATCCTTTGACACTGACTGTGTGGCCAGCACATCCATCCTCGGCAGCTGTGTGACGTGGTATTACTGTGCCTTCCTAATGCGAGGGAACAGAGACACAGAGGCTACAGCAAAGGTCAGATGATGAATTGGGCTGTGGAAGTGCTGTACTCCCCAGAGCCCATGCTCCATCAGGATGCCATGCTGCTTCAGATCACAGAAATGACAGCTTGAAGGAAAAAAAATTGGGAATACATGTTTTTCAAATTTCCCCAGCCCAGAACCCAGGTGCTAACCCCTGTCGAAATTCCACCAGTCACAACTTTGAACGTTATCATTCGATTCACTATGAAGACCTGTACCTGTGTCAAGTGGACTCCAAAATCCTTGTCCTCTCCTCTCATAATATGCTTATCCTGGGCAAGAACATAAGAGTCCCCATTGAAAGGACGAGGAGCAGGAGTTGACAGATGATCTACAGTATAGAGAAAAGTTGCTCAAACACACACACATACCCCCACACCAACTCACGTTACCTTAAATCACAGAAATTTTCACTCATTCATTTATCTTTTACCGACATTACCTTAAACCATGGAAGCCTTCACTCATCTGTCTATCTTTTACTTGCATTAACTTAAATCACGGAAGTCTCCAATCATTTGACTATCCTTTACTTATGTTAACTTAAACCATGGACTTCATTCATTCGTCTGTCTTTTACTTGCAGGGTCAAGTCTTCCCCTTGGCTGGGGGTCAGCTGACTGATGCTGCTAGCACTCTTTCTTCCATAAACCACAGCCATGGCACGTAAACTATAAAATCACTACAGTGTCTTTAAAACAGACAAAAAAGATCCTCACCAGGAAAAATGGGTGCAACACTTCTCTAGATGTTTATGGCTTTCTCCTAGCTGTTACAATGCTTTTTGACACCTAATAGTCTTGAACTCCCCCGCCATATTAAATATTCCCAAAGCATCGTTCATAGTTTTCATGAATACAACCTCCTTTATATACATATTACACCAAAGCACTTATTGTTTCATGAAATAGCATAATTACAATAATAAGTGCAGCCAACAGGTTTTGCCTCTTGGTAAACACACAACTTGTAACTGGTAGAAGAAATACATCGATACAGGAGAGCCTGGAAAACTCGTGAGCACTGCAGATACCAGTCGAGGTTTTACAGAAGGAACAGAGAGGACCTGTTATGTTGGTGACTCGGTTAGGTGGGGATTAAGAAAAGATTTTGGTTTTGCAGTCACTGAAACCTGGGCTCAAACCCTGGTCCTGAGCCACTGAGATAGTCAGTGACCAACATGAGCATCTGTCTACACTAGG